ATAATGGGAACTTAGAAAAAGAAGAAGTATCCTTGCCAAATATTTCCCTTATATTAGAATATATATTATTTCAAGTTACACAAGTTAGAAACTCAACATGTATTTATTAGTTCACTGACCGGGTGATGGACCGGAATGAAAAGCAGGAGGAGACAGAGAAACTGACAACACATTGTAGCAAGGATGCTAGTGAGAAAATTTGTTTCCCAAATATGAGTAGATGTGAATTAGAAGTTGAATGCTACCATTTGAAACATGAAACCTGCTACAAATTCTCAACAGTGTCAGTATGATGGACAGTGTGTTGCCCTTCCAGCCCCACATGTAGGAACAGAACCAACACCAGGTTACTTTAGAACCAGCCCTGCCACTCCTGATACAAAAAGCAGCAGTGGGAATATAGTTTAATTGAATCCATGGCTCCTAGGCATTCATTATTGAAGGGTTTAATATTTCAAATCTTAACAATTTTCTTTGGCTCCAAACATTCAAGTTCCATAGTGCTTCAAGAAATGGATACAATAGCCCCATTGTTATTCCCTTTAGCCTCCTAACAACCTTATGAGATAGGATATTCCAAGGCTCTCTATGAACTTTAGGGATCAGCAGATATTGAAACATGGATCTCCTACAACCAAATTTAATCTAGTGTAGCATATGGTTATCCAATATGCAAATTATGTCAGTGATATGCATTTTTGTTAACCACATACACTATGGTTCCTTATATATTTACAGTAAGGCCTTCAGTTATTAATCAGATGGCCACCCGTCACTAAAGTATATTATTGTGATACTATGCTCTATCCAGTATCAGTATATAGCAATTAAACTGTCCCCCCCCACCCAGTTATAGCTGTCTATAATAAACATAGCAGCTCCTGAAGTATAGCAGACAGGATCAAGCTACCAGTACTTTTGTTGTCAGAAGTCAGACCACCATCCGTGAATGGGCTACTGACTTGCAAGTTGCTGGTTGCTGAGATACTTGCAAATAATGATGGACTACATGGATCCTTATCGTCATCTGATGTTGAATTTAACAACTTATGTGGAAGTGTTCTGGGGATAACATGAAATAGTAAGCCTTGCCTGTTAAAAGGAAATACTCAGTGGACAGTTGAGTTTTTCAGTGGTAATGTGGCAAAATAGTTTCAGCAAACTTTGTTGTTGTTTAGTCGTTTAGTCGTGTCCAACTCTTCATGACCCCATGGACCAGAGCACGCCAGGCAACTTACTCAGACATATAATTTATGTACCTAGATTTGATGTAATCAGTCCCAAGGAGACACCTTGGAGGGGCTGCGTAGATCAGGGCAAGGGGTAGGAGAAGCCTATTGACGATGCTGGATTGGGAAAGCTGCATGGGGCCACAACAATCTAAGAGCTCTGGGAGCTAGAATGCAGATGAGGAGGGTCACAGTGGGTTTTCATCCCGATGCCCCATTTCAGTCGCACACCCACTTTTGACTCAAAGGCAGCCCCTGCCTGCCATGCCTCCTGTACCACTGGAGCCTTCGCCTCCCACAGCCTGTGCCTCTCTGTTCTCCAAGGAGGCATTTGATTCCCATTCTGGCTCTAAGGCAGCACTGTCAGGATCCTGTCACCTGGGACGCAAAGATTCCAGCACCAGTGTGAATAGACAGCTCATGTTCAGCCCACCAGAAAGAGTGCCTGCTTGCTTGCTCAATCTAAAGACACATTCCACTCACTATGCAGAAGCTGTGCTTGCCCTATGCTTTTATAATAGGAGCCCAGGGGGCATGTCAGCTGTTGGATCAACGTTTCAGCTTGCTAACCTTGCCGTGCACCTGCTGTGCTGGTGTCCCATGCTTTGCTTATGTACCATACTGATTTGAACAAAAAATTTTTTAATTAAAAAACAAAATCTGTGTCCAAGTACTTTGTCCAGTGCAAGCTATGACACTGGGTTTTAAAATACTTATTGACTATATATTTATTTTAAAGTGATTGTTTTATGTATATTTCTTTTTATTTGGTTTGTTGGTTTTAATTGTGCTCTATCTACTATTTTATTTGTGCACTGCTTAAAGAGTTTTTTTGAATAAGGGATTAATAAATTTTATGAATAAGAAAAGATACTCTTAATTTGTAAGTGTAACATTACAGTCTTTCAAATAAAAAGAGTAATACATACAGGTCTGAAATCATTATCTTAACTTGTAATGCTAGCTGAAATTTCTGTACAGTAGCGAGTTTCTGTACGCTGCTCTGGTTTGCCAGAAATGACTTACGGTAGTTATGCTGACCACATGACCTGGAAGCCTTGCCTTCTGTGGACAAACGCCGGCTCCCTCGGCCAATAGAACGAGATGAGCATGCAACCCCAGAGTCATCCGTTGCTGGACCTAACGGTCAGGGGAACCTTTCCCTTTAGTGAGTTTGAGGTTAGACTAAATGGGGTTTTGGGATTCCCTCCAATTCTGTGGCAATATAGCTATAAGATGGGATTCTGTAGAAAAAGAAACTGCTAAAAAGGTCAAACAAGTTTCTTTATTAAGGAAATAACTTAGGTCTGTTAAGCATCTGCTGTGTTACATAACCTAGGACAATGTGTTGTGACAAACTAATAAGTGGAGATACTTCCCAACAGTTTACATAGGACTTCCGGTGAACTATGTCCTAACCTTGCTCCCAGTTTCATATATGGGCCAAAGGCACTTGGGAAAAGGTTAAAATAACTGAAACAACAGCCTTATCTGCAGAGCATTGGAATATCAGTTATCTGAAGGTTGTTGGCTCAAGTGCAGAAAACTGTGAACCGTAGAGGGGTACACAAATGTTACACACAAGAATAACTTTGACTTACCAGCCTTAGCTGAAACATCTTTTCATCACACAGTTTAAGAGTGAGCTCACTTTCTGTAAAGGAAGAGTGTAAATAAATTATGAAAGCCATAGGAGTGTGAGGTGATTGGTGCGGAGACAGCAAGTATTTAACAGAAGTATAAGCCTCAGCACATTTACAGTGAGTTTCTGTTAAGAGTGTGAGTGGAGACTTTGATATGGTATCCCCAAGTCCTTTGATATGGTATCCCCAACTCCTCTGGAACTTCCTTCCCCAGGAGTTCTCTATGATTCCTTCACTACTTGCATTTAGGGCAGTCAAAACTTTTCTTTTTTATCAGGTTTTTGAGCCATCCTAGATATCTGGGCTGCTGTGAGTTTTGTTGTTGTGTTCATATTGTTTTTACTGATTTTAATGTGTGCCACTCTGATCTCTTGAGGGCAGAGAGGATATAAATTACTTTAAATAGAAAAATAAAATATAGCGACAAGCAGCAGTGTGAACACTAGCTCTGTAAGGCTGTGTCTGTAGAGTGAGAGAGATGAGGCTCTTTGTAGTGTGCCAGAGTATAAACAGATGTTCTCCAGTGAGGGAAGTGAGGATAATCTCAGCATAGGAGCAAACATATTTCATATGAATGAGAATGACCCCCAACTGTATGAGCTGAAATTGAAGGAGCATGAATGGTGAGTCTGAGTGTCACTGCAAAGGAGTATACTGTAGTGGGGTCAAAGAGTGGCAAATGGGTAAGCAGGTGTAAGGAAAAAGGGTGCCTCAACAAGTGCAATGTGAATATGAAGCTGTGTAGAAGTGAACTTCACAGTAAGAGTTCCATGAACCTAAATGAGTGTTTTGGAGTATGAGCACCAGTATTTCATGAGGCTAGGAAGATGAGCTTTTGAGAGGTGAAAAGTGTTTTAACAGAGGCTTTGGTTCCCGTGGCCAGCCCACCCATTAGGCCAGGTGAGCTGACCACCTCAGGCGGCAGTATCCAGCCTCCAAGGTCTGCATCGCCTGCAGCCGCAGTGACAGCAGCGGATGCAGCACACTCTTTGGAGTCTGGGTTGGCAACCTCCTTGGCAGCCCCTCTCCCCATGCTGCCTCTACAGCAGCCTCTTGATGAATAGGAGGCACTGCTGATCTCCTCCCACCCCTAGGGAGGAAATAGTGAGGGCTGCCCTCTGGGGTCTCCTGAGCTCTGCACCCACCCACTTCAACCATCAGGTAAGGTTGATTTGACACCCCCTGCCTGTTTCCGCTGTGGATCTTCACTCCTGCCTTGTTTTCAATGTAGATCTGCATTCCCTCCCCCTTTGTTTCCAATGTAGGTCTTCACTCACCCCTTCCTCCCTGGCAGGCTGGGGGCACCATTTTGTTATTTGCCAAAATGCCTTGGGCAGGCCCTGTTGGTTGGTTGGTTCCCTGCTTCTATACACATTTTGTGTCAACACACGCGTGATGGTCCAACGAGTTATGAAAATCCCCACCTCAGCAAAACCTATTAACCAGATGAGACAGTGGTGCGGGTATAAAAAAGCAAAGTCAAAAGCGGTCTGGTGGGTGCAGCGTCCAGTTTTGGACTTCTTTTTTTAACCTATAGTCCAAGTCTGACCCTACCTCACAGGATTGCTTTGGGAATAAAAAGGTAAGGCTACACAGACCATCCCAAGCTCTGGAGAAGGCGAAGGCAGAATGAAAATGTAATACAGAAGCTGCCTTCAACTGAGGAGTGTGTGCTGACGAGGAGTTATGGTCCCCCTCCAAGTGAAATGGGGGGGGGCATAAAAGTGTTCCAGAGCCTGCATAAAAATATGGAAGAAGCGCTGAGGAGAAAGCATTTCGAGAGAGGGAGGGCTAAGTGAGAACTATGAGCCGTGCAAGGCTGAGGAGAAACCACCTCCAAGTGCTGGGCCTTAGGCCTCGACTACGCCTGGCTGCCTTTGCCTGCCTAACTGAGCGCGAACTACGCTGACAGCAAGAAAAGAACGGCGAGCGAGGCTCGAGCCAGATAAACCGTTGGGCGCCTTCAAAAAACCCCTCACAAAACCCCACCTCAGAGGGTGGCGCGTTAAAGCCCCGCCCCTTTTTCGGCACGAGGCACAGCCGATTGCATCACAGACCGACGGGCCGCGCGCGGGCGGGGTAAGACAGACCCGCGCGAGATCTCCCTCCCCACCCCCACCCCGCCATCACATTGTACAGGAAGTACTGCTGGAGCCGCTTCCGGGGCGGCTGGAGTGACGGGACGACGTCCCGTCCTCTGAGTCCTCGGTCCTGAGAGGGTTTCCTTCTGGTGCCTCGGTTTCAAAAGCCGCCGCGATCCGTTTCTTTCTTTTTTAAAAAAAAATAAAAAAGGCCCGAGAAGGCGGCAAATGGGCTTCCTGAAAGGCGCCGTTGTTTTGGGTTCGCGCTGGGCCTTCCCGAGGGCGCCCGTCGTTCCTGGACGGAGCTGGGAGACGAGCAGCACGTGGCTGGGATGAGTAGGTGAGTGGGGGCCCCGTGGCGGGCCTGTGGGGAGGGGAGAGATGGCGGGGGGGGTAGGTCGTCCGTGTCTGTGTGTCGGTCTGTGTTGGGGGTGGGGGGTCTGCCTTTGTGCCCAGGTGAGAGTGGGTGGCGGTGAGGGTTGAGCAGCAGAGGAGGACGAGGAGGAAGAAGAAAGAAGAAGGAGCCGACCTGGAGGACGAGAAGGAGCCCACCTGGATCAGGCGAAGGGCTCATCGAGTCCAGGATCCAACTTGTAGCAGCGGCCGTCCAAATGTCTCCTTAAAAAACTGCAGGCAAAGCGGGAAGGTGACGGACTCTCCCTCTTTCTCATGCTCCTAGTACAGTACTCTAGGTATACTGCGCCTGAACATGGAGGTTTGATCGAGCCCTTATGAATTAGCAGCCCCTGTTGGGCATGCCCAGCACGAATTTTATCAGATCATTTAAAAGAGAAGAAGAACACTTGATTCGAGTTTGTTTGTTTTTTAAAAGTAAATTTACTGTAGATGGGTGATAACTTTAAAAGAAAATTAAACAGATTTACCAACGGTGTAAACACGATTCCAGGAATATATATATGTATATATATAGTGAATGTATGCTAAGTAGTGATAATATTTGGCTAGGCTTCTATTTACTGTACTTGTTGGTACGTGGAATGTGTGTTGCAACATTTGAGATTGTTCTAGTATTTATATCATTGTAGTATTTAAGTGCAGTATTGATGTCATTGAACAATTCTTGTATAGTCTGTATAATTTGCTTTAAAAAAGTGTAAGAGGGGCATTTTGCCTTCCCTCCCCATGCCTTTTCCATCCATTGAAATGTATTGCTTTATACTGTATGTTTTCACAATATGAAATAAAAGTTATAAGTCATCACAGCATAAATTTTGTTCCCCTCCATACGACAAATGTAATGAAAAGTAAAACAGGATTAATCAGAACCTGTAAATAAAACCTGGTAGTCAACCCTTCAAACAGTGGAATTATGAAGTCCAAGTAAGCCATTAATTTGCCGAGGTTTACTATTTCTCATTTCCAGGCTTTTCATGAAGGAGTAGCATGCTTGACAGGGCCCAAGCCTTGACACAAAATCGGAAAGATAGGTGCAGTGCAAATTTTGTTCTTCAAAGCATCCAATTCTTCTCTGTCCCGGTGTGTAGAAGGAGTGCAGAATTGGAAGCTTGCAGCCTGAGTCCAGATTGCCATCTTCAGTGGTGATATAACTCAGGCTAGGTCCCATAAGAGGGAGGAATAATGTCTGTTCTACTTCCTATGCCTGCTTGAGGTGTGTGGCAGCTAGAAGAAGAAGCTCGATCTGTGTTGATCACAGAGGTAGTGCAGCCAGCTGCAGCTGCTCCATACTGAGCCCCAAACAACATGGAGACCTGTGAGTGGAGACTCAGCTTGGAGTTTGTCAACCTGTTTAAACCTCTTTGGTAAGGCAAATTGTGTAGCAAAAGATGGAAACCCCTTTGGTAAAAAGATGGGTGGGAAGGAATGTGTCTTGAAAAGTGAGGATTGGTGAAGAGGTTTATGCCTGGAGTAGTGAGGCAAGGATGGTGGTATAGTAGTCACTGTTTGTATCCTAAAAACTAAAAAAACCACTCAGGCTTCCTTTATTTAATGACATATGGTGGGGGTGGGGAATGGGCAGTTAGATTTCTTTTGGTAGCTGGTAAAAATGGGGTTGTGGTTGGGTGGTGCTTTTTTTAGTGCTATCAAATAACAGTCTTTCATTTTTACAGTACTGATACATAATTTTTTAGGCAAGCAGTGTGTCTAGACCAGGTATAGGCAAACTCAGCCCTCCAGATGTTTTGGGACGACAACTTGCATCATCCCTAGCTAACAGGACCAGTGGTCAAGGATGATGGGAGTTGTAGTCCCAAAACATCTGGAGGGCCGAGTTTGCTTATGCCTGGTCTAGACGTGTGCTGGGAAACGCAACCCCCCCCCCCCAAAAAATGTTCTTTGAATCCGTGGTTTGAGAACTGTTAATCTGCCTCTGGGATGAAGGTGTTCATGTGCAGATGGATAAGTGGTAGACGGACTGTAGTTTTGTGTGGTCTACCTTTTCATCTTCCTGACTCTCTGTATTCCAACGATGTGTTAAGTGCATTCTCCAGATCTTTTAACAGTTAAGACAGTAAGTAATCTAACTAATGTGATGCTAAGGATGCACTCTTCCTTAAAAAACATAAGCAGGTTATTAGATCAGATCTAGATCTACGTAGCCCAACATCCCTTGCAAAAATCCCAGCAAACTGCAGGCTATAGGTTATCAAAAACTGACCTGTAGTCCACCAATAGATTATAGTTCTCACACCTACTCTAGATACTGAGAAATGAGGCACTGTGTGTGAGAGAGAAGGTATGTGGCAACTATTTTTTTAATTGTATTTTTATTGATTTTTCCAATAAAAAGACAACAACAAAAAACAAAAAAATGATACGTAGCACTGTAAACACCCTTATATACATATTTTCCAAAATGAAAACTAATAAGCAAAGAGAAAAATTAGAAGATATATAAGAAAACAGACAAAAGAAAAGAAAAAAACACTTTTCATAACCAGAAATATTACCAAATTCTTGCTGCAAACACTGCAGTATATAAATCTTAGCTACAATATTTTAAAAGACTTCCACCGCCTTCACCACACGTCTCTTAGTTATCTTGCTCACATTTATATCTGTTCTTTGGTCATTTCTCTTCCTTAGATTCTTTCATAATCAATCAAATCTTTATGTTCTCTGTATTCTTCACAAGGTTAGTCTAGACACAACCAAACTTTCATATTTGAGCCCTGCATGTATAAGTAATCATTTAAACATTTCAATTGTTTCTGAATTATAATTTTTGATTTATGCCTAGAATTGGAGGGAGAAAAGCAGATATATCTGACTGGGTGCATGCTTCTGTAATTTTTAAGTGGCCTGTGGTTTAGGAGAGGCTTTATAGTTGAGATCAGTATTTGTGTGGCCTCCAAATAGTCAATGAACTTTAAGTTATAGTATAGTTGAGACATTTGGAGGTCAGAACTAGAGAAGCATGCTTTTGCTGGGATCTGAGCCAGTATGGGAAGGCGGGGGGTGGGGTGGGTCAGTCAAAGTCACTGCATAATTGTTCCTTGACCCTTGACTGTGGAGTAAATGTTTAAAATGCTTGGTAGCACAACTTTGTCTTTTATTGTGTAGAAAGATGAACTTTGCAATCCAATTAATTACTGTTTTTATTGCTGTCATTAAAGATTGCAGAAGTGCCTAGAAGCCTTTGGAAGCTGTGTGGGAAAAGTTATCTATTTATAGGTGGGACAAGCTGGAGTACAATGTCTAGAAAGCCTGCATGAATTGCAAAATCTAATTGCTTTCTCCATAGTTAGTGAATTTGTGCTTTTAAAAACCTCTAAGCTTGCCATCTAATCCTGATTATTGCTCTTTTGGAGCATGATCTTCTGGCAGGACAAATAATTTTGCTGACATAATAAATAAGAATCTGAACATAATTTGTGACTCAAATATGAGATGGAGAGAGAAGGCTTATTTTAAATATACAGTGGTACCTCAAGTTACAAACACCTCAGGTTATAAATGCTTCAGATTACAAACTCCGCTAACCTGGAAGAGTTGAGTTGAGAACTTTGCCCCAGGATGAGAACAGAAATTGTGTGCTGGTGGTGCAGCGGCAGCAAGAGGCCCCATTAGCGCAAGCACGCCTCTAGTTAAGAACAGTTTCAGGTTAAGAATGGACCTCTGGAACAAGTTAAGTTCGTAACTAGAGGTACCACTGTACCAGCACCTTTCCAACTTCCTCAGTTTGAACAACCAGTGGAAACCAGCTTGGGGATTTAAACACCAGATCCTAGGCATGTTAAACTAATTTTTGACTTTGAGATTACCTACAAACTGTTATTAAAGATTCCCCCAGAGAATCCAGGGAATTGTAGCATTATCAGGATGCTGAGAATTGTCTGCTAGAGATCTATAGCACCGCTTGCACAACTACTACCCAGTGACGATAGAGAAGTGAGGTCTTTCGCTTCACAGGGAACTTTTTTCAGCCCAAGCACCACATTCCTTTCTGGGCAGCCCTTGCGGGGGCTATACTCTAGTGCAATGTTTCTCAAACTAGTGCCCCCAGCTGTTGTTGGACTACAACTCCCATCATCCCTATTTAGCAGGACCAGTGGTCAGGGGTGATGCGTGTTGTAGTCCAACAACAGCTGAGGACACAAGTTTGAGAAACACTGTCCTAGTGGTAGGTGGAGCTAGAGGCAAAAGTGGCCAGAATAATGAATCTCAACCTACTAACCTACCTTGATATGGTAGGCTAGTTTCTCTACCCATGCACATACCCCTTTCTATCCTCCATTCAGAAAATCAAAAAGCATTGTCAGAGGTCACAGACACATTCCAGCCCAGCAAACACTCAAGGAAGCAACAGCCTTGAGAGGGGGTGTGGCTAGGGAGAGTTAGAGGGTCAGGTAGGAGCCTGGACCAGTGTTAGAAACTGGCATAGGAAAACTAGGTGCCAAATGGCTCCTGGGACTTTGGTTGTGGACGCCAAAGCGACATGTTTAGGTGCCATTTTGTTTCCTGCCACACTATCCCACAGACCATCTGATTTGCCCAGCAGTGTAGCAGCAGAATTTTTTTTTAAATTGCCGGCAAATCATGTGTTCTGCAGGGTAGCGTGGCAGCAAAAGACACACATCTTTTGCTGCCATGGTACCCAGCAGACCAGCTGACTGCAGCCAGGCAGGTGGAGATGTTAGGTGCCCAGACATCTCCACCCAGTCGCAAAAGGCCTGTTGCCAGCCGCAAAGTGCAACTGGCTCCCGGCTCATTTCAGAAGTGTGTTGCATGTGTTTCCATATCTAGTTGGTTTTCAAGGAAAAAATGGATGAGCATGTGTTAGGATTTTAAAAAAGATAGCCTATCCCATCTCTGAGTTGATTGATTGCAGTTATAGCCTACCTTTTCCTCCAAGGAGCTCAAGGTGACATAGTATATGGTTCTCTTCCCCCCTGTTTTGTTTCACAACCCTGGGAGAGGTAAGTTAAGCTGAAAGACTGTGACTGGTCCCAGGTCACCCTGTGAGCTTCATGGCCAAGTGGGGATTTTGCTGGGAATCTCAGGTGAGATACCTGCACAGTGGAAGTTGCTTCCAGTACCAGTCACCACACAGAAGCAGAGAAAGGTTCAGATGGTTTACTGTTGCAGAAAATAAGGCTCCGTAAAACAGTTATGGACGTAGATATACACAGCTTGTAGGCTTTTGCAGATACAAATACATATGGATCCATGCAAGTACAAAGTATCTCTGTTGCTCTAAATAAGTCCAGCAATTCAGGATGTAATACTGGACAACTGACTGGCTTACCCAGTCACAGATAGACACCACTGAGCTGATATGCATTAATCACACATTGTTGGGGCACTGGGCCATTACCATAGCGATTAGAACATATGGGGCTGCTGCATATATCTGCATTGCATGGGGTTGGACTAGATGATCCTCTGAGTACCTTCCAACTCTGTAGTTCTATGATTATATGACCCATGGGGTGATTTACGCTCCTGACGTATAGTAACCTCTTCTTATGTCCAGTTACTCCAGCAGAACCGTGGTCTCCCAGTCCTAGTCCAACCCTCTAACCACTACACCACACTGGCTGTACAGTTAGAGATGGGGATTAGCTGATTGGGTGATTCCCCCCCCCCTCTGCCTTAACAAAGGAGTAGTAAACCTCAGTCTGTGTTGTACCACTGCTGTAGGAGGAGGAATTACTTGACTGAATGTTCCTCCATATGGAATTATCTTCATGTAGGAACACTGGATATCAAGGAGGCTATAACCTTTGTTTATGCAGAGAGAGAGGCACTTGGTTATTTCCACACCTGCACCCTGAAGTTGTGCAGCCCAGAGTACGATGCTGTTCTTAAAAACTGCAAGATGCCCAGCTCTCCATTTTGTTCACCAACTCACACAAATCCTATGCTGTACTAGCTCCCCACAAAGTGTTCAGTATTTGCGCAAATTCCTTTTGCTTCTGTGGGCATTTGTGATGCATACTGACATCCCTGGACTGGGTGTGGCCTACATCCCCCCCCCCTGCCCAGCTGATCCTGCCAGGGCAGAATGTGCTTTTGAAGCTTCTTTCAGTTAATTCTGGGCTGCTGTGCTTGCATGCAAAATGCCTCGAGTCTGTGTTAAAGCATGGTAAGGTAAGAAACGGAGTGTTTTCTAGGATGTACATCCCAGCTCAATAAAGAGCTTAAGGGATTTCTTTTCACTGAATTATTGGGGGCTGGCGTCACACAGAGGGTTGAGCTGGAGCAGCTTTGCCACTTGGCTGCTCCCCTAGGCAAGTAGCAGTTGCACCTGGGTAATCCGTCCAATTGTACCCACCTTCATCCTCCGCAGTGCTGAAAGACAGCATTAAATTGCAATGTGCATGGGGTTAATCGGCTTTGTGATTGAAGGTCTTTGTTTTCTGCACTCTCGGAGATAAGAACGCAGAGAAGGAACTCTTCTGGCTGCCATGCTGTTTGCCCTAGGAGAGAGAGAGAAGAAACAGTGACAGTGCTGTCTGTTCCACTTCCTCATACCGTGTTTGTGTGCATGTGTAGACACGGGAGGAAGAACCCTTGCTAAAGTAGTGGGCTAGAGACAGAAGAATGGAGGCATGCAGAATGATTCCATCAGCTTGCAATAGCACAGAGATGTTGTTGGTGAGCTTCAGATTGTGAGAGGGACAGTAGGGCATGACGACCACAAAATTACTGCATACTGCATACTTCTTGCCCTGTCCAATTTGCTGAGTCATTCTGAAGATAACCTGAGATAAGAATTTTAATGCACGTTCCCCCTATGTAGAAGTGCTATAGAAGTGGTGATGTTTCAAAATCTGTTTCATTAGAAACGAATAGGAGACTGAGGCCTAAATGCAATTTCGTAACTGAGTTTGAGGATCTCCTTTTCCAAAACCACACACTATTCCCTGCACTGTGTTGACCTGCTTCTGGGCTTGTAGAGGTTTTAAAAACCATATGGATGGGTATGGGCTGTGCCTGTGCTATAGTTTCAGCATTTTTAAAATTTACATTAAAAAACAATAGAAAAACAAGTATATTATTCCCTTTGTTATTTGATGGACAATTCTGCTTCTGTAATCCAGTTACTCTGTCCAGAATCAAAACTCTTGAGTTTTGTAAATAATCGAATACTTTCCCCCCTCAAGCCTGCACACTGAACGGCTCTGTTCAAAATGAAGGAGGGTGATGGTGGTGTTAAGAGTTTTCATCCCACCCCCTTATCAGCTGCCAGCTAGCATCATCCTGCCCCCTTCTGAAAAGCTGATTGTATAAGCAGCATGTGCAGTCGAGAAGCCTCACCCCTTTCTGTAGCTGTGCAGATAATAGCTGTCAACTAGGACTGGATGTGAAAGCCCATGTTGGGTGGGGTTTCTTGCAGGCCTGGACAGCAATCAAGGAGATTGGGCACAAGGAATGTGCCAGTACATTAGAACCCACTTGTGACCCATGCATAATATAGGCAGTTGCCTGTGGCATCTGAAAACTTGAAGCCAATTTCATGTTTGTAACTAAACCCCAGGCAACTCAAGGGCTGAATAATCCTATATAAGATTGTGCCATAAGCCTTCATAAAATAATGACCGCAGACTGAACAATGGGCACTAATTCATTGTACTGCTGTAGTTGAGCACTTCAACTTGTAAGCTGCCTGTAAATATAACAGCTGTAATTTTTTGTGATTATGCCCTTTGTGGTTGCAAATTCAGATTCCTTTTGAATCAGATACTCTTTTGAAGGTAGGATGCTTAAACGTTTTTCAGGCTAGAAGAAACAGCTTATTGAGCTGCCTTTCCATTGACATTATTTTCTTGGGAAGGTTGCATTTCCCCCCTGTAAATTGTTGTGATGTCTTGCATAGTGAAGCACTGTAGTAATTTTGCAAAGGGAAAAGGCTTGAGACCATTATCCATGTTCTAAGAGGCTTTGCTGGACTTCCGTAAAAATAATGATGAGGATTATGATAATAATACACATACACAGACGCTGTTTGAGTCGAGAGAGGAAGATGCTTGTTTAGTTTATAAATACAGTAGTTTATTGCTGATTTTATTTTTTTGAATGGTTTAAATAGTTGTTTGTAACAGTTTTTGCTAGTAATTTAACTGGTTTTTGTTTTTGTTTTTTCGTAAACTGCTTTGAGGTTTTAACAATCAAGCGGTGTATATATTTTATTAGATAGATAATGTACTTTTCTGTGTATAAGATGCCCCCTATTTTGGGGGCTCAAATTAAAGAAAATGGGGGGAGATGAGCTTCGGGGGGTGGTGGAGGAAATTATGCACGGTTGTTGAGCTTTTTTGGGAGGGGTTGCCGTAAATCGCTCACCTGCATACGTCCAAAAATCTGCCTCTCGTCTGTCCCCTCACTGGTCGAAGATTCCAATCGCCCGCCCAATTGCCGCAGAATCAGCCAATCAACACCAGCCATTGACACAGCAACCAATAACATGACCGATAGTTGTTGACAGCCGCGGCAGCAACCAATCAAACGTCCACCCTATGCACTGTCCATGTATAAGATGACCCACCACTTTTTAGCATAATTTTTAACGAAGAAACCTAGTCTTATGCACGGAAAAGTATGGTAGGTAGATAGATAGAGCAGACCAGCAGCATTAAAATGGCTACCTTAGAAAGCATTGCTCCTGCAATCATGTTGCAGCTGACTTATGACAGGCCCTATCGTTGTTTTACAGGTGAGCAGCACAATGACTGAAAAATCATCTGGGAATATGCAGGGGGGCATCACCCCCATGCAGCAGATGCTGGCATCTGGAACTGGGGCCCTCTTCACCTCTCTTTTTGGTAGGTACCCTGCATTTATTCTGCAGTTTTTCCTGGGCCAGTTCAAGTGACATGGATGCATACCAAAAATGTGCGGTGACTAGAAGGCGTGGTTTGCACGTCTGTATGCAGCTTCAACTAGCCTGGCTCATTTTCCTTCCTGTGTATGCCTCATGTTTTGCTGCCCCATTGCTGCTGGCCACCTTGTCTACGGTCTGGCATTGTGAAAATGTGGATGTGCATTGAAAAATAAGGAACTGGACTTGCGGAGAAGTAGTTACATAACTGGTTCGCCACTTGTGCAAACTGGGCCTGTTTACTGTCAACCAACACCATGGCCGTGTGGTTAGGATGGTATAAAGTAGCCTTTTGCCATTAATTGTTTGATTGGGATGCCCCAAGGAGAGCACTGCTTCTCTTGTGCCCAGTCATAGTATCTTAGATTGAACAATTTGGGCCCTGTTCACATGTGATGTTCATCACTCAAGTACTGTGCCAATAGCTGGTGACTGTTACATAGTTTCATTTTGCCTCTGCCACAATACTTCCCATTAGAGGCAATGTACATGTTCATTAGCAAGTTAGATGGTGCGCCTGTGAACCAGTCCTTAGTCCAGCTTTTCTCAAACTTCTGGTAGTTGAAACACACTTTCTTCTGAATAAAAAGTGAAGGCACACATCACTCTTGCATCCAAAAATCTTTACCTGGAGGTGGAAGAATCTCTTCTCAGGGAGGGAAATACAGTGGTACCTCGGGTTACAGACACTTCAGGTTACAGAAGCTTCAGGTTACAGACTCCGCTAACCCAGAAATAGTACCCCAGGTTAAGAACTTTGTTTCAGGATGAGAACAGAAATCGTGCGGCAGCAACGGGAGGCCCCATTAGCTAAAGTGGTACCTCAGGTTAAGAACATTTAAGTACAGACCTCCAGAACAAATTAAGTTCTTAACCCGAGGTACCACTGTATTTCCAGCACAGTTGCTGCACCTGTACTCATTTGCCAGGCTCCAGGGCGGTTCCCTTGAGAGTGTGTTCCTTTGAAGTTCAAGCAGTACATTGCCATTCCTTCCTTCAGGTAAACATAATCCAAGAGTACAGCAACATACCAGTTCGCCAGGTTCACGCAGGTGCATTGCCACATCTTTTAAACTTACTTTGCAGGAGTAGGGGTAGCATAGTGTTTGATATCTTTCTTTCACCTTCCCTCACTCACAAAAGTAGATGCACCCATTCATAAGGTGAGTGGGGAGCAAAAGGAAGGAAATTTTAACCTCACGTTGTGTTACATTCAGAAAGCATCTTTAGGGATCTTCCCAGTGGCTTCTCTGCACCTATCCAAACCCGCTTCTCTCTGATCCTCTAGCTCTGGGATACTGGGCATATGTCTGTTCTGTTCTGTAAAATGTGATGTATTATTATTATTATTATTATTATTATTATTATTATTATTATAAATTAAATACCCCACCCACGTGACTGGATTTCCCCAGTCACTCTGCATATTAATAATAATAATAATAGTAATAGTAATAATAGTAAACTTTTATTTGTATCCTGCCCTCTCCGGCCGAGACTTTGCTCAGGGCGGCTAACATCAAATATATAACATTGGTATAAAATCAAACAATAATTAAATTACCTCCTAAAAACAAGTCAGGATCAAATCTAAAAACATCAAGCATTAAAAAAACCTCTTGAGATAAACTGTCCCTTTCGTGTTGTGCTTTCAGTCACACCCTTGGATGTGGTGAAGATCCGATTGCAGGCTCAGAGGACACCTTTCTCTAAAGGTAAGCAATTCTTCCTTTTTGGACTGGAAGCCATTAGGGAGGAACCTTCCATCTCTTGGATGCTGTTGGCCTTGGACAGCTGCCTTAAATTTCAAAACTGCTTTAACATACATAAAAGCTCTGTGGGCTTGGAGCCAACCTTAAAGTTCAAGAAAAGCCCTTGGTGCAGAGCTTTCTGGAACTGTACTTCAGAACGCAACCAGAGAGTGGGGGCTTCCATGTTTAAATGCTGTCCCTCAACCCAGAAGAATCCCTTGTACACAAATATAGCCTTTTCCCCCACTGAGCTGGTTTTCCAGAATGAGGGAGTTTTTGATTGGGGGCGGCATTCAAACCTGCAACTTTCCCCACCTATGTTCCTGGAGGACTCTACTGTTTTCCCCGTATGATGAAAATTCACCCTTAAAGGAAGTGCACTGCTAGGGCTTCATTGTGAGTGGCTCTGGACTGGACTGTAGCTTGCTTTGTAGTGTATCATGCTGAGTGGTTTGATAACCACGGCCTCTTGAGTCACTTTGCTCAGCCCATAACCGGCTTGTGCCCATATGTTAGTGGGACTTGACAAAATTGTTTAACCCTCCTGATGAACATTAAGCCATCCATCTCTTTCCATCCTCGATGTCTTACCTTGGAGCAGTGCCCCATATCTGTTGGAAGCCCTCCTCAGGTTACCAGAAAACCTGTGGCCTTCTAAATATTCTTGGACTCTGACTCTCTCATCAGCCTCCGCCAGCATCGCCAGCAATCAAAGATGATGGGAGTTGTAGTCCAACAACATCTGAAAGGCCACAGGCTTTCCCATCGTTGCCCCAAGCCATTTGGATCTAGAAAATTATGGGTTAAAAAAAATAGCCAGGTGCATGGGGGAAATCACAGTCTGTATTGCAGGCTGTATTGCACAATCTTTTTGCAGCCAGAGTCCCCAGACAGCTACTTCTTAGCCACTGCCTCAACTAAGGGTCCTCATGTCCCTTCAGCTGTTCTTCCTCCCTCACCTCTCTCTAAGTATTTCCATGTTATGTCTTTTTCAGTGTTTTCAGTACAGTGTATGCCCTGGAGCATTCAGCAGCCCAAATGTGAGTATATCAGATGCTTTCCCATATAAGCTGCCATTCTCTTTGGATGCAGCTCTGACCCCTTTACTATTTCCATGAGCATCTGGTTGGCTACTGTGAGAGCCATGTGGGACTAGATGGGCCTTTGGCCTGATCTAGCAGCGCTCCTCTTTGCATACTGTTCATGCTCCCAAAGAGAGTGCTGGGAGCTGGTTCTTCCTTCCCCTGCCTTCCAGCTCTCACGATCCTATCCCTCCTTCACCAAAGGCGCTGGTGTTCATCTGTCTTCGTTGTGTTCCTGGCACAGAGCATTCAGAAGAACGTGTGAGGGCTCAAATTGTGCTGGGATGCCTGTGTCGGCTTCTTCTCAAATATCCCCATGCGCACCTCACCTGGCCCTTCCTCTCTTGATGCGTTAATGTCTGCAGATCTCCTCTGCCAAGAAAAGTAAAAATAGTTGTGGTAGCCCTTCATAACATGCCATCACTGTCTTGGTTGAAACCAGAACATCAGAATAATAAGGTATCCCTGATGTCCCAGAGATGGGGTGCAGGGAGAATGACTTGAGGTGCTCACCAATTTTATTTCCCTGTCTTGTTATGTTCTACTAAGTAAGTTCATCTTCCCCATGTTTCACCAATTTGTCCATCCTTGTTCAGAGGCATTGGATGGGGTGAGCATGGCCTACTTTGTCCCTTTTGGTGCTGCTGATCTAAATATTTCTGCCTTGGGCCTGCTTCATAGCATCATAGTGTGTGATATTTGTATGAATACCTCATTGTAGATGCTGGTGCAAGTCTGCAGCTTCTTGAGTCCAAAGCAACGTTGTGACTTTTGTGAGCTCGGCACATATTGTGGCTGCAGGGGGAAGACCTGCATATTTGAACGTTCCCTCGCAAATAGAAAGTTAGTGCTTTCTTCTCACAGATAGAAGCACATCAGGGGTAAGGGTTTTACCCTAACCACCTCCCTAAAGTACCATCTTTCAAGCTCAGCCAGTCATTAAATGTTGGCATGCTCCTTTTACTGCCAGTGGTCCACCATTGCTTGGGTTTGGGACTGCCACAGCTAGAGATGCCCTCTCTGGCTCATAAAATGATACCATCTCATTATATCAAAGAACAGCACTCTCCTGTTTAGTACCTCTTCCACGTGGAAAGGCTGCAGCTTCCCCTCTCCTGTGAGCTCTCTCTGGAGTTGAGATGCATGTAATTGGGCCCTTGTGTATTCTGCACATTCCCCTCTGCCCAGCTACGAATTCTCTTATCAGAAGTAATAATAGTGTCTTCAAATATGTTTTAATTTTACACAATTCATTCTGCTTCCACAAAATCTTCAGTTTTGAACCTCTTGTGCTTTTTTTGTTGCTGCTAACAAAGGATGTGAAAAGTCCTTTCCATTTTTCTTTGCAGCCATGCAAGCTAGAATGCCTGTTTATTTTTAGCAAAAACTGAGCATCGCTGCATGCTGAATTGAACATTGGGTAGCACAGAATATATCTGGCTCTGCATGTTGTATTGGTGGGTAGAAAGCTGTTCCCACCTTCTATTTTTAACTGTTGCGAGCATTTTGTCTCCTCTGTGTGCATCTCCTTCTTTTCCTTCCCGTGTCCCATAACTTTTGTGTCTCTTTGCTTTAATCCCTTTAATTTATGTCTGGTTGAAGGGAGTAGCTGTGTGTTGGGGCTGGTGGCCCTGATGTTGCCTTCTGGGGAGCAGGTGATGGCTTCATGGGTAGACAACTCGAATGTAGCATGTCCAGAATATTTCAGATTTGTGAGGACACAGTTCTGTCTTCATGAAAACAGCCTATTTATCTTCTTCTGCAACCTGCTCTTGGGTCTATTGCATCTGCTATGACTTAAGTCTGAAAACATCTAACTTTCCAATGCGTTAGATGGACAATAGATGTTTTATACAGCACCCAATTAACTTGCACATTCATTACTACAGGGATTCCATGATTATTGATACAAATACCTTTTTAAAAAACCACTGACCTGTCATTCATGACCAAAAGCTGAGAATGGAACCAGAAAACTCCCTCTGATAATTAGATCTTGGGACAAACAAGGTCTAGCTGTCTTTTATCACGTCCTGCTAGATTTTCACACTAGGGAAACGTCTGAGAGATGAGTAACTTTGGTTTTGGTACAGAAATTCCCAAAGCTGGGAGGAGTTTTCAGCAAGGCCCAAACGTGAGGAAAACTGCTCTTTACTATTATTTATTTATTATTTTATATTCCACTGTTCTGAATGCAAATCCATCCAGAAATGCTGAACTGCATTTAAAAACAAAACTGTTTGCTATTTATATAGCCACCCCGTGTGACAGTTCATAAAGCAAAAACAACAACATTGGAAATACAGTATGAAACACTAATAACTGTAACTATTTAAAATAAAAATTAAAAAAGCATTACTGCTGCAGGATTCAGCATGAGCCTGAGATTGACAGGCACGTGTGTTCAGGAGCAGGTGACAAATTGGAAATGAGGGAGCAGTCAAGAACACCTGATTTCTGGTGATACAACAGCCCCCGCCCTCCTCTGAGTGCTGTTCCTTCTTGTCTCCCTGTTCTCCACAGGGAAATGCTTCCTTTACTGCAATGGCCTCATGGACCACCTATATGTGTGTCAGAATGGAAACAGCTGCACGGCCTGGTATAAGACGCCTACTCGCTTCACGGGCACTTTGGTAAGGGTCTGCGTGATGAAGGGCTGGACCATCTCCCACTGGAAGGCCTTACAGTTTGAGTTGGCTATATAACCCAGGTGGAGGGTGGGTGGCTGAAAATGTGGCAAAGACATAGATCAGGTTGCTATCCCCCACCCCCGTTAAATATATATAAAAGGCCTCTAGATAAATTGCTTTAGGGACTCGTAAGGGTATGGCTGGGGTTGACCTGAGGTGTGACTGTCTACACCCTCCTAAGGTGATGTGAAGTAGGGAGCTGGAGGGACGTAGGTGTGCTGCTCCCTCCCATCAGCCAGGATAGCTCACTTAGTTAGAGCACGGTGCTGGTAACACCAAGGTTGCAGGTTTGATCCCCATATGGGACAGCCACATATTCCTGCATTGCAGGGGGTCGGACAAGATGGTCCACAGGGCCCCTTCGAACTGTGATTCTGTGATCTGTAGCCAAGGTTTGTTCTTTGTTCTGGGGTAAAACCAAATCCCGTGTGGTTCCAGGAGTATATACATATGCAGGTGCCCATGCGACACTGTGGGAGATGAGGAAGGAGAAGCTTCTTCCATGCAGGGCAGTTTGGAGCAATGAAGGGGTGGGTTGGGAAAGGGTTAAGCACCCCTTTGTGCTGCCCCCTCACCCGCCCCGGCAGCTGCTTCCCTGCCAAAGCTGGGGTTTTTTCCTTGTAAGAACCAGGCCTCTTGGGAGCTCATTAAAGGGGTTTTTGTATGACTTCTAGTTCAGCAGTGTGGCTTAGCTTCAGGGTTTTATTCTGACCAACTGCTCTCTCCTTCACTGTCCGCCCTTGCTTGTTCTTCCAGGACGCTTTTGTGAAGATAATACGCTATGAGGGCATCCGATCCTTATGGAGCGGCCTTCCACCCACCCTGTGAGTGTGGACATAAGTTACACGCAATTAAATTTAAATCCCAAGGTGCACAATCTCAGGAAGTAACACACTTACTGTTGTTTTAAAACAACCTTTTTGGCCTGGCAGGCCAGATCTTCATCTGTCCACACCCCCATAGGCTGACTGTGACAGCTGGGTGGGACGACCCACTTGTCACTCACATGATCTCAGTTGATTGACACATGGGTTGTCCTGCCCCACCTGTCCAAGTCTCTTGTGCAGCACTTCCCAAGTGTCCACAGTCTGCCCAGTGCTTGGGAACAGCAGTGCAGTTTGCTAACCCTTCCTTTAAAAGCACTATTAACATTTTATCATTTTTATTGCAATGTATGATTCCCATCAGTTTGCTGCCCTAGCAGATCCTGTACTGCCTTTGGAGCGTTCCACATCCCCAAAAACATTGAATTAGAGAGAATAGCTTCAAGAAGGAAGCCTGGTGGTCACACTTGGTTGTCTGGTCTGCTAGTGTGTGTCTGCACACATCTGCTTGAACATGCGGTATGGGCATGTACTCCCAAGAAAGCCATCTTTGGGCAATTACATGATTTAGAAGCAACAAACACAGTTTTACAGCATATAAAGTAACCCAGTGAAAGGTGTGGAAGCTTCCTGCCAAGGTAAAGAAGTGAGAAGGGAGATCTCCAGTCTCTCGTTTCTTTGCTGCTTTCTCTCAGCACTGCTCACTGAATTGTGAATTCTTATCCGCGTGATCAGAATTCTTGATGGTCTTATGGGCAATGTCAGATTTGCAGCGCATTGGCATTGGAAGTAATTGGGTTCTACACGGGCATGCACACTGTACTTTATGGGACCATGGCACTTAATACCCACAACTTTTTAACAGGGTGATGGCTGTCCCTGCCACTGTGATCTACTTCACTAGCTACGATCAACTACGGGACTTATTGCGTGCCAAGTTGGACAGCCAAGCACGGTACATCCCACTAGTGGCTGGAGCTGTTGCCAGATGTGAGTATCACCTCTCCTGTCTTCGTATATTTGCAGGAGCAGCCTGCCTTTCTGCTTTTAATTAAATGCACATATTGTAAACCACTAGCTTTTCAGAATGCAGGCGTCGTCCCTCCCCGTATAGGCACGCTGCTAGGAAACAAACAAATAATTCAATTCGAACCTGGAAATTGTGAGAGTTGGAGAGTCCTTGTTGCTTGCAAGGAAACCTTCTCCAAAGCCAGAAGACGACATCAGTGCAGGCATAGGAAGCCCCAAAGAGACTGGAAGCACAGCCAGGCTTTGTTTAAGCTGCTCGGCCTCCCTGCCTAACAGCAGATGGCATGCGGTAGTGCGGCGTCTTCTTCTCCTCCCAGCCTCCAGTCATGCCCAGAGCTTCAGTTCTAATTGTGGATATTTTTGGTTACATTATTTTCGGTCTGAATTGGAGAGAGAGGGTGTTTAAATGGTGTTTAGAGAGTGTTCCCCACTTACACGATTTTCACATACATGTGTGGGGCCCCAGAACATAACCTACACATAAGGGGTGGGGGACACCTGTACTTATTACAGTGGTGCCCTGCAAGACGAATGCCTCGCAAGACGAAAAACTCGCTAGACAAAAGGGTTTTCCGTTTTTTGAGTCGTTCCGCAAGACGAATTTCCCTATGGGCTTGCTTCGCAAGACGAAACGTCTTGCGAGTTCTTGCGAGTTTGTTTCCTTTTTCTTAAAGCCACTAAGCCGTTAATAGCCGCTAAGCCGTTAATAACCGCTAAGCCGCTAATAGCCACTAAGCCGCTAATAGCCATGCTTCGCAAGACGAAAAAACCGCAAGACGAAGAGACTCGCGGAACGGATTAATTTCGTCTTGCGAGGCACCACTGTATTTCCCTAGTGTTTGTAGATGCCAATCTGCATTTTTGGAAGACTTTATGTTTACAAAAGGGATCTTCTGGAGAATAGGATGTTTGGAAGCATTTTAGAGGTTTGAATTACATGTGCCATATAAATGCTCAAGACTGGAAGTGGACGTGATGCCTTCCATATATTTTGGACTACTTCTCCCATCATTCCTGACCATTGGCCATTCTGGCTGAGGCTTTAGGAATTGTAGTCCAATAAGATCTGGAGTGCACAACATTGGCTGTCCCCAAATATATAAATATCCTAGCTGCTGTGCATCTAAAGTACACAGGTCTGGAAGGGTGGACATATGTCTTGTTTTGAGTCAAGAGAGGAAAAAGGGCTGCCTTGCCACTGGATGGATGGAAATAGATCAGGAGGGAAACCATTACTGCTAGCTTGTATGAAAGAGATTTTGCTGAACGAGCTTCAGAAGTAGGAGCGTGAGAAGGAGCAAGCGAGATGGAGAGAGAGAGACTGACAGTTCCTGCAGGATACTGGGAGAGGGGAACTGAAGTGCAGGTGGGGACCGTCCTTCCACCACCACCCCTTCTCAAAAAATAGACCACGTTGAGAGATGGCAATAAGACGGCAGGTTACAGGAGTGGATGTGTAGGATGTAAAATGAGGATAGATGCCACAGTTATGCCTTCCTTAGAAACCTCCTGAGCCATTCATTGCCTTTCTTGTTCACCACCAGACCACAAATGAACAATTATTCAGGCCAGATCTCCACCAACTCTTCTTTCTCTCCCCACCCCCTCAAAAATCTATTTTTGACAGCCAGAATTGCAGACTCTGTGTTCAGATATAAGCTAGCTTTTGGCTCCTAGATCTGAATGACTAGGAACAGGGTTGAAAAATCAGATTCCTACCCTACTCATTGCTACCTTGTCAGATCTTACTGACCAGGGGGAAGCTGGAATACTGAGCTAGATGGCATTTCAGTGAAACCTACTACTTCAATTCCCACATTTTCCGACGCCCAGGCACCTAAAGGCTTCCTCAGTTTACATGCCAATGGCATTGTAATCGATGACTGCCAGTCTACTCTTCTGCATGCACGTGTCTTCCATTAGGTCTTTGCAGTGGAGGAGCTGGGAACTGCCTTGATTAAACTGGGGCTTGATTTCATGTGCTGCTCTGGTCTCTCTTCCCTAGTGGGTGCAGTGACAGTGATCAGCCCATTGGAACTCATCCGAACAAAGATGCAATCCCGACAGTTGAGCTACCGGGAACTGCGTGTCTGCATCCAGTCTGCTGTGGCCCAGGACGGATGGTTCTCTCTCTGGAGGGGCTGGGGGCCCACAGTTCTGCGGGACGTTCCCTTCTCAGGTATGGAAGTGACACAGGGAAGGGAGCAGAGAGCAGTAACGAGAGGGTTTGGAAGACATTGCATACAGACATCTGGGAGGAGCTAGGCATGTTTTGTTTTCTGAGCAAAGGTTATGCAAGGCAGCTGCTTTCAAGATACAAAAAAAATCAGACTGTTCTCTCCCCTCAAAAGGGTTCATCATCAACTTATTATTGAGTACAATGTCTTAAGGACAGCAGTGCATCGTTACTTTATAATACCCATGAAAGTTGCAGAATCTCCACCAGTTTGGTTTTTCTAAAAAGGGCTTGGACAAACACCTTTCCCTTGCCCAGGATATTCTGCTATTGCAGGGGGTGGAGAAATACGATCCATTCCCACTTGGAGATAGACACACTAGATGGTGTGTGGGTCTCTTTTGCCTCCGGCCTGTTTGAGTGAATCCAGAACCCTGATAAGAGTTAACACCCCTGTTTTGTGGAACTGCCCTGCCATTATGAAGGCTGGCATATGAATTCCTCTGAACAAATCAATATTACCGTTAGATCTGGGCAAAGGGTCACACACAGGGATTCTGGACAGAGAGGGGGAGAGCTGCAGCTCTAGCAAGCAAGCACACCTTCCCCCTGCTACCAAAAAGGAAGCACATTCAGCTTTCTGCGACCTGCAGTTCCCCTCCCTCCTTTGACGATCTGTCTCTTCCTCTTTCCCCCCCACAGCTCTGTACTGGTATAACTATGAACTGGTGAAGGACTGGTTGTGCACCCGATTCTGTCTTACCGAGGCCACCTTCATGGTCAGCTTTGCAGCTGGTGCCATTTCTGGCACGGTGAGTGCCGGCGCTTGACAGTTCTTTCCAGTGGCCTTGAGAGGTGGCCCAACCAGAGAGAGATGCGAGGCAGAGCGGCCTGCTGAGCAATCTTCTCTTTAACTGTGACTCCGGGAGCCTCTTAACCAGTCCGCTTTCTGCAGCCAGGAAGGCTGTAAAGTGAATGTTAGCATGCTGCTTATTGTTAAGCATCGGCCTTCTTAGCTCAGTGATGGGAGCGAATAGTGTATTTGCAGCATTTGTAAAATGTAGCTAATGTGACAGATTTGAATGATGCGCCTCTGGAGTAGGGAAGATTCCTCAATCTGGTCATGAATAATGTTCTGAAGGCTGCATTCCAGTGGTGGGTGGAGCCAGGAGGAAAACTGGGTGGAGCCATGGGTGTGAACTTGCTGGTTAGCTCCGTTGGTTGGAGCATGGTGCTGATAACGCCAAAGTCACAGGTTTGATCCCCATATGGGTACATATTCCTGCATGACAGAGGGTTGGACTAGATGATCCATGGGGTCCCTTCCAGCTCTACAATTCTATAATTCTATTCCTGATGCACAGATAGGGCCTTTACCATTACTTACTTATCGCAAACCATTTTTCCTTCTCCGTGTGCATTCTGAACAGTAGATTCTTCATCAGTGAAGGAGGGTACCTAAAATGGATTTTATCTTCTTCCATTCACTCCAGGGGGGGCGTGCATTTATGCAGATTCAGAAAACTTTGTCCCCTTTGGGTGTTGGAGGCACTGCCAATTCCATTCCTACCTGCTCCAAGGCAGGGTGCTTTTCTTCAGAGCTCCTCCTTGTTTCAGCGCAACAGCTCTTTCCCTCCCCTCTATTTCCCACCTCTTTTCTTTGCAAACCTTTAGGCAACTAGAGTGGTAAAGGAGGCCCTAACTTCCCCACCCCAGTAGACAAAAGAGAGCGCTTTGCCTCAAGCCAAGGGAAGAATCTTGCTAGTAGTGATGGCTAATAGATGACCCTTCCTATTCCCCAGGTGGCTGCTATCCTGACACTGCCCTTTGACGTGGTGAAGACCCAGCGACAAATTCAGCTGGGAGACATGGAGACACTCCAAGGTGAGGTGCAGGAAGCTACCTGGGGCTGCTATCATTAAGCCTGGCTAACTTTTTTGTTACGGCTGCTGCAAGTGAAAAGAGAAGCAAGGAATAAAAATGTGAACTACATAATGTCATATACTTTCTCTCCCTGCTCAGTTGCTACTCCCAGGTCCTCCTCCACCTGGCTGCTTATGCAGAAGATTCGAGCAGAATCTGGCACCCGAGGACTCTTTGCAGGTGACTTACATTTCTGTTTACTGCTTGCTATTCTCTGTGCTGTGCGACAGCACCTCTCTAAAATAGTAGTAGTATTATTATTACTTGCCCTTCACCAGCAGGTCCTAATAATAAGTAGAGGATGAGATTTGTAGCTATAAGACTATGGTTGAAATCTCTCAACTAAAAATGCCTTAGAAAGTTGGGCATTCTGTTCCATCTCAGACTCATTTCCCTGTAGCTGCACTTTAAAAGATCCCCCCTACTTTGAACACACAGTGATGCATTGTGTGTTTGAGTCGCATGTGGTCAAGGCAGTGGTATGTGTGCCAAATTCAGAAGCTGGCCAAGCACTTGCACACTCTTTCTTCGCCTTATTAGAGCAGGCAGCAAACTGTGCACCATGGAGATGGGATAAATTATTGAACGTAGGTAGTCCTGTTCCCTTTCCTTCTTCCCAGCCTGTCTGACAGGTTTCTTTATTCTTCTCTCCTTCCCCCTGCCAAAATGGCCCACAGGTTTCCTGCCTCGGGTGATCAAGGTGGCCCCTGCCTGCGCCATCATGATCAGCACATACGAATTTGGCAAGGCCTTCTTCCAGAAAATGAACCAGGAACGGCAGCTTGACAACGTATGAAGGCTATGGAAAGATCCTCCATTTTTCAGACGGACCAAAGCCACATTGGTGGCAGGGAGAAGGGACATATTTCAGAAGAGTGAAAGAGGAAAAACAAAGTTTGTGAAATCGTGGTCTGAGTAAGGTGGATCCAGTCGTGGTCACTGTCAGTTAAGGGTTGAGAAGACCATACCTAGGAAACATTTTGTTCTCTTTTCTTGTAGGACGTGTCTGTCAGACAAATCCCAGGTGCCTTCCAGCTCGCTTCTACCCTTCTCCTTTCCCTTTTGCTGGGGAGCAGTTCAGTGATTTGAATCTCTTAGCTGCTGCACTCCTTGCCCCCTTCCTCCCCACCCTAGAACCATTGTTACATTTTGCTGTTGGGATGCTGTCATGTTTGGACCTTTTTACGCCTTTCATCTGAAGAGCAGAACATTCTCTTTAGCCTTGCCCAGAATCGAGAGAATCTCTAGCTACAACTGGCTGCCTGTTAGGTCCCAAACAGAACGTGACTTTATTTACTTTAAACCAGAAAGGGACGAAAGGAAAAAGAGGAAGAAGCAGGCTAGCCATGGCATTCCAAAAGGAGGTGGTTGTTTTTTTTTAAAAAAAAAGGTTTTTGCTGCATGCAATCTGTGTGCGTGTGGCCCTCCAAAAGGCTTCAAGCTGCTGTAGACGGAAACAGACAGGCAACTCCATCCCTGCCTTAAGTGTCTGTAGGTCTGCATGCCTTCTGCTCCACCACACGATCCTTTCTGCGCATGATGGATATGCTGGCTCACGCTGCAGCCAAACACTGGACATTGGGGGTCCCAGAAAACAAAACACTGGCTTGGACACTCAGGATTCTCCCACCTCTTCCCTTGACACTTCTATGGGCGGCAAGTCTTCATGCCCTAGATAATGAGTAGCGCGGGCACAAAGGAATTAAACGTCGTGTTCTCCCCTTGCAGTCTTCCATAGCACCTGCTCTGTTAAAAGGGGGGCTGAAATCTCAGCCAGGCCAAAAGTTTGTTTTGATGCCAGAGACTTGAAAGTGGCACCCTTTAGCAGCTGCTAGGCTTCCCCCTATCTGTGCTGTTAACTTATGTGCCTGTTGCTTACATTCTTGTGGAAAGGTTCAGGAGGCTTTTTCTTAAATAAAGTCACATTTTAAACAAAGAAACAAAAAATTCTAGCAGAGGCCACCAGGAGAGGATTGCTTGTTCATCCATGTTTTGTGTATTAGGAATTTCTGGTCTAGCTCTTCTCTTGTCTTCTTTCGGAACAGGAGTGGGGAATGTTTTGGCCCAGTCAGCTATTTGTCCCAACCCCTCCCTGTCAATTTCAGATTATTGGCTGGTATGTTGTCCTGCACACCTATCGGAAGGCCTTGCATAAGGAAGCAGTGTGCTGATCTCTCTGAAAACACTGTGCTCAACCCTTCTGAAGCACTGAGCAAAGGGGCTGGCCAAGCTGCTTTCTCTAGGGATTGGCTGAGCCCTTGGGTTCCCCATGCAGAGCTCAGTTGCACAGCCTATTCGGCAGATCAGCTGATGGGTGGCAACATCAACTTTACTTTGCAGGGATTGGTTGTCCCTCGTGGGGTACTCTATGCACCATTCCTACTTGAGGATTTTCTTCCCTCCCCGGGAATCTTCTCATGTGGTATGTTCTAAGATGCTTATATTATATAATAGGAGTTGGGGGGGGGAATCTTTTGCCTCCTGTGTAAGGCATTGGTTTGTTCCTGTCTCCTCACCTTCATTCTGCAAGGCTTATTCACTAGATTCCTCCATGAACCTAAATCTTCCCTCCTTTTGATCAGGTGACTAGGTCTTTCTAAAAGCAGAAACAAGCCACTTATTAATCTGCCAAGATACACAATACAAAGAGAAACCCACAGGTGTTTTTGAATCCTCTGTCACAATTGTTCAGTACATAGAAACAAGAACTTCCTAACCACTTTTATCTTGGCTGTTAAAAAGAGTTGCAGATTCCCCCCCCCCCCAAATTTCCTGAACCGTTGGAATGCTTAAAAAAACAAACCGCCTTTGCACCAGCCCAGTAGGTCAGTTTTCCCACATGTTGTCAAATTCCAGCTCCCATCAGCCCCCTTAGCCTAATAGTCAGGGATGAAGGGGGTGGTAGTTGGCAACATCTGGGGAGCCAAGGTTGCAAGTGATTGAACCACTGTAAGAAAGGGATGTTGGGAAGAGAACAAGCATCATCACCATGGTGTGAGCAGGAATCGGGACCCTGGCGTCCTCCAGGTGATGCTGTTCTCCAGCTCCTATCACCCCTAATCATTGCCCAGGCTGCATCTGGAGGGCCACAGGTTGCCCACCCCTGTTGTAAAAGGCGTTTGAGGAATGGGATACATGAATGAAGATGTAAAAATGTGAATGCAGTTGCATTTGAGATTAGAGTTATGGGTAGAGAAGGAGGTACTCTAAACACCTCTATAACTTATTGTGGCTCTTTAGTATATTTCACATTCCTAGGTGCCACAGTCAAGATTTTAGGTAAGCTAAAATCAGGGAAGGGACGCGGGTGGCGCTGTGGGTAAAAGCCTCAGCGCCTAGGGCTTGCCGAACGAAAGGTCGGCGGTTCGAATCCCCGCAGCGGGGTGCGCTCCCATTGTTCGGTCCCAGCGCCTGCCAACCTAGCAGTTCGAAAGCACCCTCGGGTGCAAGTAGATAAATAGGGACCGCTTACTAGCGGGAAGGTAAACGGCGTTTCCGTGTGCGGGTCTGGCTCGCCAGAGCAGCAATGTCACGCTGGCCACGTGACCCAGAAGTGTCTCTGGACAGCGCTGGCCCTCGGCCTCTTGAGTGAGATGGGCGCACAACCCTAGAGTCTGGCAAGACTGGCCCGTATGGGCAGGGGTACCTTTACCTTTACCTTAAAATCAGGGATGAGATCAAGAGCTTCTTTAGGTGCACCTTATGACTTATTCATTGGCATAATGAGTGTCTCCTCACTCCCAAGCGGCAGAGCACCATCCATCCCATGTCATATTAAAAGCAGGCTCGGGCATTTTTCTTCAGCACCTGTTGTAGTTTGCTACAGGCCTGCTGTACTGGATGCGCAAAAATGGTTGGTTGGTTCTTCAGATCCTGACTTAGAATTTAGCACTGTCGTCACATGGACTCAGGCTGCAACCCAGTGCACCCTCAGGAACAAAGCTTAATTGAATTTGGTGTGGCTTATTTCTCATTTCAGTATGCTTCCATTTGCACATACGCATTGTAACTCAGAAAGTCCCCAATTTAAATCTCATCTTAACCGTTATTCAGTGGCCCCAGACAAGCCATTGTTCTCTAATCCCATCTGCAATGCAGAGATAATACTGCCTTATAGTATAGTGCCATTGTAGGAATAAGGGAATAATATAGGTGAAGAGCTTTACAGCTGAACCGTACGGCATGAATGTAAAAATTAATTTCCCCAAGCCACTTTTTAATAAAAGACCTAAGGATGTTTGCAGAAGAAAGATGTGTACCGGAAAAGAGACTTCAACAGACTTTGTCCCATTTTACTGCCAGCTCCTCAAATCTGTTTTAATTCTTGCCCATTAATTCTACAGCTTCCCCAGCTGCTGGTCTATAACAGTTTTTCAGCCGTGGCGAATGAAGTCATCACATACCAGAGCGTTCCTAAGTCTGCTTTGTCAAAACTCTGGTAGGGGAAGGGGCCGATTGTGCCTTGAGTACCACACACCAAAAGACCCGATGTGTAAATCGGCCCTCTTCCGCCTTCCAAGACCGTCCCTGAAGTAAAGAAAAGAAAACATCCATTGGGATAGCAACATGCAGGAGAAACACAGGAAGTAGATTCCGCAGTAGTCTGGTAGGGTTGAAGACGGAAGAGGCTTCCTGAATCGCAAAAGAAACCCAGAAATCTGGCGGCAACTTGAAATCCACCACCACCCATTGCAGGAAGGTAGCATGTTTGTTGCTGCAATTCCAGGTTGAATCGCAGGAAAGATGGGGAACTCAACATCCTCCTGCCCTACAGCTTCCTTCTCTCACACACTTCCACAGAGCCTCCTGCTGTCGAACAGGGAGGGGACAGACAGGGTCATTGACAATATCACCTCGACGCTGTGCAAGTTTTCACTACCGAGAATGCGCCTGGGTAGAGAATTTCAACCTGTGTAGCTGTCTTCTGTCTCTTGCCCACCCCTCACCCCTCCAGCAGCAATGATTCAGAGGAATTTTAAGCATTCTCCTCCGGAGACAGCTACCTTCCAGCAATCTCAATCATATATAATATATATATATTACACATAATATACACAGCATCATTTTACAAAAGTGCCTTGGGCAGGCAATCCTTCCTGCTTCCAACAAGCGTGCAGCCTTTTCTTCTTCCCCATTTTAAATCCCGGGCAGGGAAAAAGATTCTAAACGCTTCCCTGCTTCCAGTTTAAGGGGGAAAGTCTTGTGTTTAAAGAAGTGTCCAGTTGAGGATGTGGGCTTGTTACCCTACTGTAACATCAGGCTCAGTAGAGGTACAGCCAAGTCAAAGGGACTCGATTCTCGTTCCCCTCCACAGGCATCTATTGTGGTTTGTAGGGATAGCCATCTTGATGTCTCAGCTGGGGCTGTGGGCAGGGCTGGGTTCAATGCTGTCGCTCACCAGGCACTCGTTGGATTTTAGGCTGGCTAAAGACTTGGAACTAGGCAGGGAGGCCAGAGAGCCACAGAGGCCCAGCATTGATGGGGTTGGGTCCTTTCCTGCAGAGAAAAGAAAGGAAACAAGGCTTCAGAGAGATGTTCCTACAGCAGGATCTTAAATTATCATGAATTTAATTTTTTTTTAAGGCATCTGAAAAATGAAGACCATCCTAAATCAAATTAAAAAATGGCTGTCATTGTCCGTAGCTGCTTCAATTTTTCTCGGGAAAATTTGTGTGTGTGTTTTTATTGATACTTATTCAATGATATACAGAAATATATACCCCTTTATATCTTTATAATATACCAAGATAAACAGCTACTTAGTCTAAAAGATAGCATAGTCGGAAGGAAGAAAATACAAGTAAATGAGAAATCTAAAAAAGGGGAAAAAACTAAAGAAAGATAAAAGGACTTTCTGCTGTCTGCAGCTGCATATGATACTTAATTCTTTAAGATCCAACCATTCTATATTCCATAAACCAGTATTTTGTCAGTCTTCAAATCCAGATATTACAAGCTCATTTTCTCTTTCATGCAAAAAGTCCATAAGAAGTTTCCAATCCCTTAACAAATGCTAGTAATGATTTTTCTCTAATTAAACATGTTAGCTTAGCCGTCTCAGCAAAGCTCAATAATTTTATCAGCCATTTTTCTGTCGTGTCTTTAGGAAAGACAATTTCAACCCCAACCTTCTGCATGGTGGGAGAGGGGGATCACACAAACACTGGAAGAACATGCAAAGGGATCACGGGGGCTAACCCTATGCATTGTTAGGTTTCCCTGACATCTATGCCTTCAACAGGCATAGTTCTACGCCTATGCAGATAAAGCTTCATGGGGGTGGGACTCCTTCCAGCATCTTGCTTCACGTGTGAATATTAGTGTGGATGGTGGCAGCATGAGAGACCAGACCCATAATGCGCTGCACACATTGTTTTCTGCTGCTATAAGCTCAGCTCTCAAATGGCAATTCAACAGCTCATGGTTTCCAGTCTTTGGAAGATGTGCAACTTGAGAAATAGGAGGTGCACATCATTGTCTTCCCACCCAAAATAATTTAGTGTGTGTTTGTAAGAAGCCGGTGTAGCACAGTGGTGAGGATCCCCCATGATGCTCACCTGGGTTACTATTGCAACCTCACATAGTTCTTTCAGAGGAAGGGAACTGTGTACACTGACTTCCTCTCTTTGGAGGTTAGGTGGTTGTGTCCTGGGAGATATGAAACAGCAGCGCAAAGAGAGTGCCTCCGAGCCTGTGCAAACAAGCCCCTTCCCTCGCCAGAACCCACATGATGAATTTGGAAGGAAAAGAACCAGCAGGGAAGCTTCCAGGCAAGCTTAAGCCCTGGCACTTGTTTCCAGATCAAGCAGTGATTTTTCTCAAACCTGTGCGAAAAAACCTACCCAGTGGCCCCCAAGGTTCTCCTTCATGCTTCCCTTCGCCCATCCTTTGGGAATCCGAGCTCAGGCTGATCTCTGCTGACAGCTGGTCTGTGCTCATGAAGCTGTGCCTGATGGGAAGAGAGAACG